AAGATCTACAAATACCTTATTTAAAAACTAAAAATACCTTATATAAATACCTTATATATATATATATATAAATATATATATATATAATAAAATATATAATATAATCTACAAAATACCTTACATAAAATTTAAAATGACATATAAATACCTTATATGTAAAATCTACAAATGCCTTATATAAAATCTAAAAATGTCATATAAATACCTTATATATAAAATCTAAAAATACCTTATATAAAATCTAAAAATGACTTACATAAATACATATATAAAATCTACAAATACCTTATATAAAATCTAAAAATGACTTATATAAATACCTTATATGTAAAATTTACAAATACCTTATATAAAATCTAAAAATACATTATATAAATACCTTATATAGAAAATCTACAAATACCTTATATAAAATCTAAACTAAAAAAAAAATGTACCGAACTGTTACGTGATAGTTGTCCTCCTAGGAGGAGGAAGAAACAGAGCTGCCGTACAGGCAGCGAAGGCTCGACATTCTCCTCAAAGATGAAGAAGATACTGGAAGCAATAGAAATGTGGTTCTACAGAAAGCTGCTGAGGATACCATGGACCGAACATGTGCGCAACGACGAGGTTTTGGAAACAAAATGGAAACTGATACTTAACATCAGGAAGAGGCAGTTGAAATTTCTGGAGCAGGTAATGAGGAAGGTTGGCTTAGAAAACCTGATACTCACAGGACAGATTGAGGGAAAGAAGGACTGTGGAAAGCAGCGAACGTCATACTTGATGAGCTTGAGCAAATGGCTGGCAGAACAGGGTTTGGGAGAAATGACAAGAAAACAAAACTTATTAAGAACTATATACAAGAGGCCGTAAAGACGAGGAAGGCCATCATCGCCTACATTCTATAGGGACACGACATATAAAGGAAGGAGGAGGAAGAAACAGAGCTAATTTATTACGAGCAAAGCTAATAATCGCAAACGTGAAATTCCTGCCCTATTTAAAAGCACTTATTAAGTAATTTCGTAATCAGTGCTAAATACATTATGATTTATGTATGTGTATTTGCATGTACGCCGATGTTATTTTTTGCGAAACGCTTATTAGCGGTTGGATTTTAATTTCCACCCGAGACCAATTGTGTTCGATTGAAAAATACCTTATATACCTTATATATAATCTAAAAATACATTATATAAATACCTTATATATAAGATCTACAAATACCTTATATAAAATCTAAAAATGACTTATGTAAATACCTTATATATAAAATCTACAAATACATTATATAAAATCTAAAAATACATTACATAAATACCTTATATATATATATATAATCTACACATACCTTATATAAAATCTAAAATACATTATATAAATACCTTATATAGAAAATCTATGTTATCCATTGTGATAAGTATAAATCCATTTCTTCTCTCCATCCGAGCTATCGGCTAATAGCAGGTGTCTCGTTGGTATTCACTTTAGGAGAAGGACAACTTTAGATCCCAAACCGGTTCGAGGTGGGGTTAGCAGGACCCGGTGCTTTCTATGGGAACATCAACATCGACACCTATCGTAGAGAGGCTGTAGTACTATATACTCCAAAGGGGCATCTATAGGACTAGCAAAATGTGTTCATATTAACATCTGCTAAAAGATCGCTTTCGGCTAATAGCAGGTGTCTGGTTGGCATTAACTTTAGAAGGAAAACTTTGGATCCCAAACAGGTTCGGTTTTGGGCTAGCAGGCCCTGGTGCTTTCTATGGAAACATCAACATCGACACCTATCATAGAGAGGCTATAGTACTGTATACTCCACAGGAGCATCTATAGGCAAAACATCATATCCATATTAACATCTGCTAACAGATCCTTTTTGAATGTCTTTCCAACAACAATATTCTTTACCAATTGATCCCACTTAGCAACCACCGACATGGCGTAGGCTCCTTTAAAATCGCCTGCCTACCTGCCCCCAACTGTGGTCGCAACAGAATAAAGCGGTAAAAAGTAAGGTTACAAAAAAGATACAAGAGGAGATTGGAAAGAGAGGAAGAAAAGAAGGCATAGAATATGGAGGTGCGAGAGAAAGACAAATGGCGTGGGGGCGGAGTAGGAAGAATGTGGATTAAAAAAGAGAGAAAATGGTCTCTCTTTCTTTCTTTCTTTCTTTCTTTCTCTCATGGATGTGCGGTTGGTGGAATGGATAGCTGCTCAGGAAGAAAACTCGAATAAGCAAATTCGAATAACCTTAGGACAGGTACGAATCCATAACACCCCTAGCTATGGGTTAAATAGTGAGAGTCGCATCATGAAAAAAATCATTGTTATTCTAAAAGAAAATCTTAATGCAATGTTTATCTTTCTCAATCTCTTCATTATCTATCTATCTATGGATATATCTATCTATCTAAATCTGTTCATTATCTATTTATCAATCTATCAGTCACGGTCTGTTGACTATCTCAATCTTTTCATTATCTATCTGTCTCAATCTGCTTCTTATCTATCTATCTATCTATCTATCTATCTATCTATCTATCTATCTGTTCATTATCTATCTATTTGAATCTATCCTTATCTATCTCAATCTATCTATCTATCTTTCTATCTATCTCAGGTTGTTCATTATATATATATATATATATATATATATATATCTGTGTGTGTGTGTGTGTGTGTGTGTGTCTCAATCTGTTCATCATCCATCAATCTCAATCTGTTAATTATGTATCTCTCTCAGTCTGTTCATTATCTTTCTATCTGAATTTGTTCATTATCTATCTATCTATCTATCTATCTATCTATCTATCTATCTATCTCATTCAGTTAATCTATCTATCTATCTATCTATCTATCTATCTATCTATCTATCTATCTATCTATCTATCTCATTCAGTTAATCATCTATCTATCTATCTATCTATCTATCTATCTATCTATCTGATTCAGATAATCATCTATCTATCTATCTATCTATCTATCTATCTATCTATCTATCTATCTATCTATCACAATCTGTTTGTTATCTGTCATCGGTGTGTGAATGGCAACCTTTCAAATTATCGCCCTGTTTTTGGTAAAGTACTCGAGGCTCTAATCAATAACGAATTTCTTAAGATCTTCGCTTGACCTTTCGGACAAACAATATGGCCTCCGTTTCGCCAGGTCTACCGGCGATGTTTTAACGGCCATCATTGAATTTGTCTATCAAGCTTTAGATAAGAATTGCGAAGCTCGGAATTTGGATCTAGATGTCTCGAAGGCGTATGACAGGCTTTGGCATTCTGTCCTACGCAAGCTCAATATTTGGCTTAATCCCTAACAAATCGTGTACTAAAGGTCGTGTTGAACGGGCACGCTTCCAGATCACTTCATACTAACGCAACGTTTTATCCAGGGTTCTATCTTTGAACCTACGTTGTTTCATATCTTCATCAATGATCTCCCTGATGTCATCAGTTCACAACTAGGTATTTATGCAGATGACACAACTGTTTACTCCTATCAGCTTAAATATATTAGGTTGGTGCAAAAATAATTACGTAAGAATGTCGTTTTTTGACGTTAAAAATACGTTAAGAAACGACATTATTACGTCATTATTTTTGCACCAACCTAATATTAATTGATAAATATTCATCTATTAGGAGTGTGCATACACAAATTTTGCACGCACCTAATATTATCCTCAGACCTACACAGTTCCCGATCTTCATCAATGACCTCCCAATGTCACCAGTTCACAACTAGGTATTTATGCAGATGACACAACCATTTATTCCTGTCTTATTAGCAAATTCGAGAGACACAACAAACTAAACCTGGCAACTGCTCTTGAAAAGGACCTCCAATCAGTGGTTAACTGGATCAGGAAATGTCTTGTGAAATTTAACGCCTCCCAAAAACTGCTTTCGTTTAATCACAACAGAGAAGCTTTTCAACCTGCCATTAGCATGGCTAATCCTAAACTCCAGGAGAGCAGCACTTTATAACTTTTTGAACTCGCGTTTTCTACTGACGTGGAAGTTGAGAGACTGCAATCGAATCAGCTGGTGGGTCTGCTGCAAGGAAAGATGGTTCGATATGTTGTGTCAGAAAAATGTTTCTCACCAAAATCAATCTTGCACATTTATAAATCTACCATTCGTCCGTGCACTGGGGACAGTTGCTATATCAGGAGTGGTGCTATTCCTACAAATCTCGAACACTTCATTATCTATCTATCTATCTATCTATCTATCTATCTATCTATCTATCTATCTATCTATCTGTGATTTCCTCTATCTCTCTCTCTGCATCTATCTATACCTTAATCATTTCATTTTATCTATCTATCTATCTATCTATCTATCTATCTATCTATCTATCTATCTATCTATCTATGCCTTAATCATTTCATTATCTATCTATCTATCTATCTATCTATCTATCTATCTATCTATCTATCTATTCTCTCGTAGACATCTATCTATCTATCGCTGTCTTTGTCCTTTTATTATCTATCTATCTATCTATCTATCTATCTATCTATCTATCTATCTATCCCTTCATCATTTATTATCTATCTATCTATCTATCTATCTATCTATCTATCTATCTATCTATCTATCCCTTAATCATTTCATTTATTATCTATCTATCTATCTATCTATCTATCTATCTATCTATCTATCTATCTATCTATCTCTGTCTTTGTCCTTTTATTATCTATCTATCTATCTATCTATCTATCTATCTATCTATCTATCTATCTATCTATCTTCTTGACAAAGTCCAAAGAAGGGTCTGTAATGCAATCGATCCTGACCTGGCATCTTGACTTCAGTCCCGTTCTTTTCTACAAGGACATTACATGGTAAATGCTCTGACGAAGTTTTCCACAGGTGACCCATCTGCATGAATTTAAGCGTTCTTCTAAATTGGCAACTAGGTCTAATTATTTGATTATTGAACCAACCGCCACTTCTACTCTGACAGTTTCTTTTCTCGCACTTCCTGTCTGTGAAATGCCGTTCTGATTTCTTGTTTCCTTGATAACTACAATTTTAACAATTTAAAAACAACGGCACTCGCCATATTCTGTCTGTGTTCTTGAACCCCGTTGATCTTTTGTCCTTTCCACAATCTTCCCCATTCTCAGGTTTTTCATTCTCATTCACGTTCACTCCCTGTAGCCACCTCTGCACTTGCGTTCTAGTGGAATTATTGCATTGCTTGGGGGAGAAACGGTTAAAAAAAGATTTTCCAATTTCTCTCATCATCTCTACTTTTGTTTAAGATACTATTATACCATACAAACACGCATATCTATCTATCTATCTATCTATCTATCTATCTATCTATCTATCTATCTATCTATCTATCTATCAGATATTTCCCCCATCTCTCTCTCTCTCTCTCTCTGTATCTATATATGTCTTAATCATTTCATTATCTATCTATCTATCTATCTATCTATCTATCTATATCTATCTATCTATCTGTACCTTAATCATTTCATTATCTATCTATCTATCTATCTATCTATCTATCTATCTATCTATCTATCTATCTATCTATCCCTTCATCATTTCATTATTTATTATCTATCTATCTATCTATCTATCTATCTATCTATGCCTTAATCATTTCATTATCTATCTATATATCTATTCTCTCGTAGACATACATCTATCTATCTATCTATCTATCTATCTATCTATCTATCTATCTATCTATCTATCTATCTATCTATCAGATATTTCCCCCATCTCTCTCTCTCTCTCTCTCTCTCTCTCTCTGTATCTATATATGTCTTAATCATTTCATTATCTATCTATCTATCTATCTATCTATCTATCTGTACCTTAATCATTTCATTATCTATCTATCTATCTATCTATCTATCTATCTATCTATCTATCTATCTATCCCTTCATCATTTCATTATCTATCTATCTATCTATCTATCTATCTATCTATCTATCTATCTATCTATCTATCTATGCCTTAATCATTTCATTATCTATCTATACATCTATTCTCTCGTAGACATCTATCTATCTATCTATCTATCTATCTATCTATCTATCTATCTCTGTCTTTGTCCTTTTATTATCTATCTGTCTATCTATCTAGGAGGCAGAGAAAATGGTAAGTGCGATGGAAATTTAAACTGGAAAAAAGTGGAATAAAAAGAGAGGGAGGAAGAGAGCAAAGATGAAAATGAAGATGGAAGAAAAGACGCAGTGATGTGGTGGGAGTGGAAGACAACGTGATGCAGATTTGGGTCGAGGATGCGTGACTTATTTTTTGTTTCCTAACATTCAAAATCTTTATAAGGTCAAAAGTTAACAATGAAATATGGGTCATTCTGGCGAAATATTACTTTTCCTGGGTAAGTGATGGGCTTCCTCTTTGAAAGGTTATATCACACCCACACCTACATATATACACTCATGTACGCAAAAAACATCTGTATATATATATATATATATATATATATATATATATATATATATATATATATATATATCAGCAGAGCGAGGTAGACATACACACACACCCATATATCAATTAGAGAACACTCAAATGCATACGAGGATGTATCATAAATGTAAAGATATCGAGAGAGAGAGAGAGAGAGAGAAAGGAGAGAGAGTGTGTGTATGTGTGTGTGTGTGTGAGAGAGAGAGAGAGAGAGAGAAAGAGCGAGAGATACACACCTGTATATGCTCACATCTGCACACACAGATATGACTGATGATGCACAGATACACACATACTTCCATTGTAATGTGTAGAGTGTAATGACTGAGCGATGAATGCAAAGACACGTACACAGCAAAGCTAATGCGCGCGCATAAATAGTCCCACTTCCTCACCTCAAACACTTAGACACGTGTATAAGTCTGAATAAGTACGCAAGTTAAATAAGTTCCCACGCGCGCTCCCACGTGTGACTTAGCACAAACATGCTCATGCATGCTTTCTTTTCTAAAGAAAATCTATGTTGCCTCCTGCTCTCTCTCTCTCGGCCATTTTATCTATCTATCTATCTATCTATCTATCTATCTATCTATCTATCTATCTATCTATCTATCTATGTTTTCCCGAGTCTCACATTTCAAATCTATCTATCTATCTATCTATCTATCTATCCGAGTCTGTTCAAATCTATCTTAGTTTTTCCCCTCCCTCTACTTGTTTTTCTATCTATCTATCTATCTATCTATCTATCTATCTATCTATCTATCTATCTATCTATCTATCTATGCTGAGTGGACATTAATTACAGTTTCTAGTCGAAGTCAATCATCTGGCATGATCACCAGCATGAACTACGATAGGACGCTCATACCCTCAATCACGATGACTTGCGACTTCGTGTGTCACAATCACGACGGTTTCTGAATAGTTATATTGATCCAATTTAATTCACAAGTCTTGAGTCAACCGGTGGCATGGTTTTCAAGCACTTTCCAAGCATCAGGTTAGCCGAAAATTCAGGTAATACATTTCATGAGCACTCCTATACGAAAAGCTTTAGAAAAAACAAATAACATTTTTCCTCTTGTATATATATACTTGTCATATAATAAAATCCTTATATTTGCCTTGATAAAGTCACAAATTTTGTGGAAAAGTATATAATGAAGGACGGGGAACAAGATCAAGGTATCAGAAGATGTCGATCGACATTACACTTGAATATTTGAGGATTATAGCTATCAAGGAAGCAAGTAAGAGGAAGAGAATTCCACAGACGGGAAGTGCGAGAGAAGAAGATGTTTGAGTAAAAGAGACGGTTGCATTTTCGACAGTGAAAGGATGGGATCGAGATGCCAGCCTAGTAGCTCGCTTAAATTCATTCAGTCTAGGAACCAGCGAAGGTAGCTCGTCGGAACAGTTGCCGTGAAAATACTTGTAGAAGAGACAGAGTGAAGCTACAGCATGTCTGTGCGAAAGCGACTGCAGACGAGATGCCTATCTCATTGCATATTCATCGCTGGATTTTGTTGAGGGCCTTGAGACATACAGCGGGGGCACCAGACCATATATGACAGCAGTATTTCATGCAAGGATGGATGGTTGAGTCATAGATTTTAAGGATGGACTCAGACGAGAAAAACTTTCTGGCACGTCACAGAGAACCAACTTTCCTTGCGGTAGATGTAGCTATTTCGGTGGCGCTTATGTAAATTTTTTCGTCTATGTTATTAGTTACGATAGCTTTGTATATTATGTTATTTGTTAAACATTTACTATTAAGTGAGCAATTTTCTTTGTTTCTGCGGTTACATTTAATGGTGTTATTTTGTTGCATGTTATTGTTGTTGTAACTGATATTGGTTTTGTTCAGTATTTTTAGTGCTTAGTTATTATTTTCTCCCTCTTATCCATGCAGCTGATTGTAGTTGATGCATTTTTTATTGTATTTTTGTTGACAATTTTTTTAATAATTGGCTGTTTTTAGGGAAGTGTTTGTTAATTATTTTGAAGAATATTTTCCCTACTTTGGTTTATTTTATTGTTGTAGAGGGTGTGTGAACAGAATTATATTTCTTTTTTTGTTGTTTTTGCTTGAATTGTTTTCGTTTTTGTATTCTAGTTTATTTGAATATCCGCTGTTTCTTAGAGCTGATTCGTATGTTTTTTTTTTCATTGAATATTTTTAGGTTACTAGAATTTGTTGAAATTTTGATTCAGTTATGAAAATTTGTACGATAATCTTAATATATATATGGGTATTTGTTTGAATAGGTTAAGACGGTGGCTGGAATTTTTGTTAATGTATATTGGGTTGTTGTTTGGTTTTCTGTATGTTTTGTAGATTCCGTTGTTTAGGTTGAATGTTATAGCTAAGAAATTTATTATTTTTTTATTTGATTTTATATCTCTTGTAAATCATAGGATTTTGAAGGTTTTTCTATTATTTCTTGTCTTATGTTTTCTGTAATTCTGTCGTGGCAGTTTCTTAGAATTAATAGACCATCGTCCCTGTATAGACCTATATCTTTTCTTTTTTTTTTTAAATAAAATTCGTTAATTTATATTGAACTGACAAAATAGGTGAACTTATATTTGCAGTACGTTTCGTTCCTTCAGAAAAGTTATCAAAGTCAAAATGCAGAAAAAGAAAATTAAGTTCACTTTTAATTACCAACATAGCAAATATTTCATCACTTAGCGTCTCGTACAATTTCCTTTCCTTTCCATAACATTGAAAGTTTCTCGAATATTTTCTAATTGTCTCAGATTTTTTCTTTTACACATGCAATTTTCTCAGCAATACTCTTTCTTTACGGAAAGATACAAAGTTTTTCTTCATAAAATTCTATATTTTTCCTTTGATGACGTTCTTTAAGAAAAGAGACGTGTTGCATAAATAAATGTTCCTATTTTAATACGTCAGTTTATTAATATTCTGTTTAAGATATTTTCATTTATTTATATCACAATTTTCATATACATATATATATGAAAAATAATATATATACATATATATGTGTGTGCGTGTGTGTGTTTATGGAAAGGAAAGGAAATTATACGAGACGCTAAGTGATGCAATATTTGTTATGTTGTTAATTTAAAATGCTTTATTTTATTTTTGTAGTCATTATTATTATTATTATTATTCGGGTTTTCTGTGATAAATATCTGCATTTTGACGTTGATGACGTTCCTGAAGGAAGGAAACGTGCTGCAAAAATATGTTTTACCTATCTTGTCAGTTCAATATAGAGTAAAACCTTGAATTAACGTTCCCGGAACCAACGGACTCCGGATTTAATGGACAAATTCCGCAGAAATGGTAGTGTTCGGCAGGAACTCAAAACGCTCGCGCGTAGCGAGCAAAGAATTGATCGATGTTGTTTACCGGCGCAATCAACAGACATAGACTGGTAGTTCCGAGAATAGCCGCTCTTGTTCAGTTGGGCGCTTGTCGTGTACACACATGCATCATCTCACACACAGCATATCTCTCTCTCTCTCTCTCTCTCTCTATGTATGTAATTTATTTTAACTTAATATATAGTAACTTAAAAATAAAATACACGTACATATATACTGTATTTACATTTATTTACAATAATTTTGTACTGCACTGGATGTTTTTAGGCCACGACAAAAGTGCTTCAAATTAATGAACAAACAGCTTTAACGGGCAACCCTCCCTATTAGTCCGTTAAAATGAGGTTCCACTGAATATATATATATATATATATATATATATATATATATATATATATATATATACCCCAAAATGACATAGTTTTGTAACATAGCCAATGCTCGCTGAAATGACCTAAAACTTTAACAAACTGTACAAAAACTAAATTAACTGTGCAGACTTATCTCAGTGTGAATCAAGCAGGATTGGGTGTGTCAATGATAATGGCAATGTACTGTTGAAATGGCTACCACGTTCACTTGACTTGACAACTTGTGATTTTTTTCTATGGAGGTCTATATACCCGATCTTCAAGCCGAGAGGAACTTAAGCAGATTCACTGAGGCGCTGGAGAATGTTACGCAACACATTCTACAGTGTGTTTGGCAGGAGCTGGACTACCGACTTAACGTGTGTCATGTCACAGGTGGTGCAAATATTGTGCATTTTTGAAGCTTTTTGAAATTGGTTATAAAATCTACACCCCTTTGATAAATATATCTATCATTGTTCAACATAAAATCTATTTAATTTCGTTTTCCTGGGACATATAGTTACTCAGATATTCACATTTTAAAAGAGGCTAATTTGGTGGGGGACAACATATATATATATATATAAAGTAATTCTAAACAGCCAGGCAAACCTACCTAGGTTTCACTTAAACGGATCTTCAGGGTAAAGCTGGCCAGCTTTGTCCTGAAGATTCGAAACCTAGGTAGGTATGCCTGGCTCCTTAAAATTACTTTATGTTCCCTCTGCTTGGTGTATTGAGCACTTTACGTAGTTGTCTTTTACTCTTTTTTTTCTTTGGACTTGGAGCTTAAACGCTTGACGATTGTTTTCGCCTGGTTTTAATGTTCTTGGTTTATTTTATTCCCCATTTTTCCTCGGGTACCGATTTGTTCTACTGCAAGTTGAGCTATCCGAGGTTTTTCCAAACGAATACCACAATTTATATATATAATTTATATATATAATTAGGAGGATTTGATAATTATAATTAAGTAATTCATCGAGTCTGAAAGAAACCTCAACAGAATGCAGAAAGTCCTATATTTGGGACTCATCAGCAGTTCGCAGCCACTACCGAGAATTGAAACCCTGATAGTTAGGTTATCAAGCAAACATCATACCAACTGTTCCAACGAGCCTCGTTGACGAAGAGGTTGCAAATCAGACTCAATATAGCGCCGCTCGATCACATATTCCGTGGTGGAACTCAAATGAGATTCTCTCTAACCATAGGACTGTGCCCCCAGGAGCCACGACTACTATCATCAAACCGCTCAAACTTGAGCATTAGAAGCCGGTTCAAGCAATGATATACAAATGATAGAAATTATTAGGAGGATTGGATAATTATAATTAAGTAATTCATCGAGTCATCCTCCTAATAATTTCTATCATTTGTATATCATTGCTTGAACCGGCTTCTAATGCTCAAGTTTGAGCGGCGCTATGTTGAGTCTGATTTGCAACCTCTTCGTCACCGAGGCTTGTTGGAACAGTTGGTATAATGTTTGATTGGTAACCTAACAGTCCGGGTTTCAATTCTCGGTAGTGGATGCGTACTGCTGATGAGTCCCAAATATAGGACATCCAGTGCATTCTGTTGAGGTTTCTTTCAGACTCGATGAATTACTTAATTATATATATATTTATATGTATGAGGATAAAGATTAAAAACACTTATAAATCTAACATGTTTCGCTTTTATTAAAGTTTCTGATGAGATATGGAAAATTAAATTATTAAAGTTTCTCTAATTACATTACATTTATTCTCTTTCTCAACGTCAAGCCATATAATAATTGTCAATGTGTATTTATCTATATATTTCCTATCTCATCTGGAGTGGGAAGGGAGATAAATCAACTCCATTTAGTACATTTATGAATTCTTGTTTCCCTTGTACGTTTTAATAATGTATACAAATAAAATATTTATCTAAATTTAGACAAAATTACCTCCCAAGCAAAATTAACCGTTTAATTAATCAATTCATTTGCTTTTGAATTTCTTAGATTGAAGCCTTACTTGTTCAAGTTTTTCATGTGAGGCACTCACATACCTTTGTCTATTAGGTGATCTTCTTGCTTTAAT